CCGTGACGGAATGTCGACAAAAGCTATTGGTGAACATAAGATGGAGTGAGGCCATTCAGTAGCGAAATGTAAACACAAGAGCGCAGTGTAGATGGGCTAGAAGCCTCAGGGATCAGACATGTGAAATAAAGATTAGAGAAACTCAGAAAGCCTCAAGTGGCACCTTCTGGGACAGGTAAAAAGTTCGGTAACAGAAGTTTTCTAGACAGGTTTTATAGCTGAAGCTCAGTGCCTGGTTCGGGGGGAAGCTCAAAAGTGCATTCTCACCTGCTAAGGACGGATATGGCATAGGAACGGTATGAGATTGCAGAATAGAAAAGGATTTAAAAGAAAAAAACACGCATTGTACAGAGTTCTACAAAATTATGTCTCCCAGTCAGTGAGAAGTCTCCATAATGTGTCCTACGGAACAGAAAGCAAAGCGTTTTTCACGTGAAGATAGTTTTCCGGCAGAATTTCGATTCCGCGCTCAATCGTTGCTTCTAGACGCCCGCGGTGTCGCAGTCATGGCTCGATATGCATCATATGCGCTCTTACCGAAAACTGTTAATAGAGTGGGTTCTGAATGAGTGCTTTTTAGATCCCGAACTTATTTTTGGTAGAAGGCTGTTGAACAAACAAGTATAAGGTAATAGCCAGTCGGATGTTATCATTACAATCGATATTGCTCAAATCCAACCATACCAGAAATTGATAAATGTAATATTCGTCAGTAAATGCCCAATCATCTATAAAAATACAGATTTTTTGAGCATTGAACAGTTTTTTCAAAATATTTATTTCTCCCTAACAGTACAATTATTCATGATACAAAGATAAAAAAGAAGAAAGAGAGAGAGAGGAGTTGCTGACGAACAAAAACGAAGTTTTAGACAACTTTTACTTTGTCCCAGCAGAAGTACTGTAGGCATTGTTACACAATGAGAGGTACGGCAACCTCACATACTATTCCATGAAACTGCTTACTGCTTCAGGTCAATTTTCTATTTACATAGGTCCTGTTGGGTATTATTCATGATTCTCCTCCTCTAGTCTCGTTTTTTTCAAATAGCAGACTGTCATGTATAGCGCTTCCATTCATCTAAGGGGTCATTCGGTGACCTCTCCTATTTCCTACAGTATCCGTCATTAGCAGAATGCTTTGTCTTTGTCTTCTGGCACTCAGCAAGGTGCTCCTAAGTGGTCTGCCGGAAATGAAGGTGAGCTCGATGATTGGACCGACCATCGGCTTTTCCTTTTGCATAGCTATTGAGCCCGACCATGCTTGACACCAATAAAACGGGACACCTAATTGATGCTATGGTTCAGCGATACACTAGTGTAATCAGTATCTGCTACACATATATTTTCAAGGTCTCTGGATGATATTGGTTGCTAATGTACCTTCTATTCACTTTCTGCATAGGTCAACAGCAACATTGGATCCATACTGATGTTCATGGCAAATGAATTTTGATTCTGGCAGATCTACCACATCAAGTTGTAAGATTGAATGGTAAAGGATGCTCTTCACTCTGCTTTCAGATGGTGTTTTCGATATAGCTATGGATCTCAGGCTAAATATGTGCAAAGATGTTTCAGCGGAGACTATGAAATGCCAGTTTTCAATCAGGACCTCGCAAAACTCTTGCTCCATGGGAGGATCGAACTCCCGACCTCGGCATTTCTCAAACTTATAAGTACCACACGCTAACCAACTGCGCCAATGGAGCACGTTTGCGAAAACATCGTGAGTAGTGACAATTCCAGTGCATTCAAAATCACAGTTGTTCGCAAGGAAGGATCGAAAAAAGGCAAAGCCGAGGCACCAACCCCAGCGCTTCCGTGGCGCAATAGGCAGCGCGTTCGGCTGTTAACCGAAAGGTTGGTGGTTCGAGCCCACCCGGGAGCGGAATTTTTGCACATTGTTCTTTTTCTCAAGTTGTTGAGTTTAGCAACGAATAAAACGGAGCATGGCCAGACAACGTATTTGAGGTACTGTCATTTGCTGTGGAGTCACGAAGAGGATCTTGTTGGGGAATCACTAGCAGTTGGCATTCGACCTTGTAGGTTAAGTTTACCATGAGGTACACATTTCCAACATGTTGCAAGCAACAAAAAAAGCTTCCTGCCATTGAGAAAATCAGTGTTTTAGGCTCACATGGGCTGGACATATACTGTGGGTTCTTCGAGGGCAAACCATCAGCGGCTGATTGTATAATAATTAGAGACTAGGAGTATTGAAACCATTCCCTAGGACTTTGGAAGATAGGGGGGTGGGAGGAGGAATGACTTTTCTGCTGCAACGTGTAGCAGCAAAGTTCTGCAACGTCTAGCAGCAAAGTTCACTTCAATATAGAGAAGCGACCTTTCGGTCACAAAGAGAGGGACCGATGCAGGACTCTCATGAGCGATTTCACTGTACAGCAAGGATCCAGTCCTCTTGCATGTCGCCTTCGTTATCTGAAAACATAGCCATCCTTCATCAATGAAGGGTAAGTGAAGATGTTCCATACGAAAATCAGTTGGTTAATAGTACTTGCGTAGACCCCAGCATCGAAGCAAACACTCTTATCACCAAATCAATGGTCACCTCTCATCTGAATATAGGGAAACGGCCCATTCTCTTTTCTGACAATGTAGCTGTTTGAAATGCACTTATGATTTCAATGTGGTGTTTTGAAGTGCTTATCACTTCCGGAAAATGAATTTTATCACTGTGTTATCGAGATAGGGGCAGTTTAGTTGGGCCTCGGAAACAACCCAAGCCCCTCGCTTTTGTTTTCTTACTTACCATTGTGTTGTTTCCATTTGACAAGCTAGGTCTACTGCCTACGTTGGACCATACCACCCATAATCACACTTATCATTCACATCAATCATTCCAAGCGGAGGGGAGCATTGCTGGAAAGGTCATCACGGACAGTCTCCACCTTTCTGATAGGGAAGTTCACTTTCTTATAGCCTATAATGACCGTATAGTATTGATTTCACTTGTATGTGTACGATTTCAGCGAAAGCACAAAAGTTTACGCCTTTCACCATTGATATCACTCAGACCAGCCTCTCCTTGATGGCTATTTTCAGGTTCCCAGGCATAGAATGGCTCTCATACGGAGGTCCTTTCCACATGTCCTGTTCGTTTGATATAAATCGCTCCAAACCAGACTTGAAACTTAGAACGCTTTGCTTTCGCGGGAAGTGGCTTGGAGCTTCAGTTTTCTTAATTCCACTGTATGGATTCGTTTCTCTGTCGTCACCAAAATTCTTATCCGAGTCATAAAAAGGCGCTGTCATTACTATATCGTCGTTGGAACCAGCAGTAAAGAACGGCTTCTTCATCAACTCCACACTTTTGCGCTCTACCCTGTTTCGTTTGCTCTTTCTGATTATTACTGGATCACTGTGGTGA